CAGCCATCATTGTTGTTTGGCGGGTCCGGGCTGGGGATTCGAACCCGCCACCTTAGGTGTACGTGGCTGGCGCCTTAGCCGATTGAGCTATAGGCGCCGAGCCGATTTTGTTTTTTTTAAAGCAGTTTTAAGTCCACAGTAACATTGAGAAGAGGTTTCCCAGGTACTACCAGCCTCTACAAATGCATAGCTTCCCTCATTATCAACATCTAGTACCAGAGTGGTACATTTGTTATAATTGATGAGGCTACCTGGGTACATCATTATCACCCGGAGTCCATAGTTTATATTAGGGGTCCCTCTTGGTGTTGTAGGACCATGAATATTGGTAGATTTGACTACCCCCAAATTTTTATATATCAAAAACTGAAAGTGGCTCGGCACCTGTAGCTCAGTGGTTAGGGCACTGGCCCCATACACTGGGGCTGGTGGGTTTAAACCCTGCCAGGGCCTGCTAAACAACAATGACAGCAATAACAAAAAAATAGCTGGGTGTTGTGGTGGGCGCCTGTAGTCCCAGCTACTTGGGAGGCTGATGCAAGAGAATTGCTTAAGCCCAAGAGTTTGAGGTTGCTGTGAGCTGTGATGCTACGGCACAGTACCAGGGGTGACATAGTAAGTCTGTGTCTCAATAAAAACAAACAACAACAAAAAAAAAACTAAAAGCAAAATAAAATTAAAAGGCAAACAAACTGGACAGTACATTTGTATGACCAAGGACTGATCCTGGTATTTGAAGCAATCTTAGAGATCAGTTTTGGAAAAAATGAATACTCAGTTTGGCGCCTGTAGCTCAGAGGCTAAGGTGCCAGCCACATACACTGGAGCTGGCAGGTTCAAACCCAGCCCGGGCCTGCCAAACAACAACAAGTACAACTCCTAACCCCCCTCCCCCCAAAATAGCTGGGCTTTGTGGCAGGCACCTGTAGTCCCAGCTACTTGGGAGACTGACGCAAGAGAATTGCTTAAGCCCGAGAGTTAGAGGTTATTGTGAGCTGTGAGTGATGCCATGGCACTCTACGGAGGGTACATAGTGAGACTCTGTCTCAAAAACCAAAAAAAAAAAAAAAAAAAGGATAAGAGAAAAAAATATTAAGACACTAGGCAACTCATAGAAGACCAAAAATTGGTTTGAGGGTGGCCTGTGGCTCAGTGAGTAGGGCACTGGCCACATATACTGAAGGTGGCAGGTTCAAACCCGGCCCCAGCCAAACTGCAACAAAAAAATAGCCGGGCATTGTGGCGGGCGCCTGTAGTCCCAGCTACTTGGGAGGCTAAGGCAAGGGAAATGCCTAAGCCCAAGAGCTTGAGGTTGCTGTGAGCTATGATGCCACTCTACCTAGGTGTGATGAAGTGAGACTCTGTCTCTAAAAGAAAAAAAAAAGTAGTAGGGGGAAAGTTCAGCTTTACTAATAATCAAAGAAATATAAATTAGATTGCAGGTCTGAGTAGAATGAGCTTGCCCCAGGTTATAAAAGGGTCTGCTTTTGGAGAGCAGTTTGATAATATGTGTCAAAATTCCTTAAATTTTGCGTAATAATAGAATTTGTAACCTGTCTATGAGGCAAAATATGCATTGGACACAGGTTTTTTCATTTGATTCTCAAAATTACCCTTTTATGCAAATATGGTTATTTCCATTTTAATGACGAGAAAATTGAAGTGTTAGGGAGATAATGCCACTTCCCCAAGGTCATTTTGCTAGTTAATGATAGAGCCAGGACCTTGAACCCAAGAAATATGTCTTTCAAGCCTGATCCCTTAACAACTATGCCCCTCTGGGTAGTGCCTGTGGCTCAAAGGAGTAGGGCGCCAGCCCCATATGCTGGAGGTGGCAGGTTCAAACCCAGCCCTGGCCAAAAACTAAAAAACAAAACAAAATAAAACAAAACAACTATGCTCCTCTAAGTATCCCTCCAAAAAATATTTGGGTGTATGTGCCCAAATATCTATCACATTATTTATAAGAGCAGAAATTTTTAAAACAAATGCCCAACAATCTGTCCCAAAAAATATAGCATACCTGTTAGAAATCATTATGAACCAGAAAATACTCCTGGCAAGAGGTCTGTGATTGTGTTAAATGGAAGGGCAGGTTTCAAAACTGTATTTTTTTTTGCATTTTTTTTTGGCTGGGGCTGGGTTTGAACCTGCCACCTCTGGCATATGGGACTGGTGCCCTACCTCTTTGAGCCACAAGTGCCGCCCCATTTCAAAACTATATTTATAATGAAAGTGTAGTTTTTATTTATTTATTTATTTTTGAGACAGAGCCTCAAGCTGTCCCCCTGGGTAGAGTGCCATGGCTTCACTGCTCATAGCAACCTCCAACTCCTGGGCTCAAGCAAGTCTCCTGCTTCCACCTCCCAAGTAGCTGGGACTACAGGTGCCCACCACAATGCCCGGCTATTTTTTGGTTGCAACCGTCATTGTTGTTTGGCGAGCCCGGGCTGGATTCGAACCCGCTACCTTAGGTGTATGTGGTTGGCGCCTTAGCCACTTGAGCCACAGGCGCCAAGCCTAAATTTTATTTTTTCTGTAAAGCCAGGGTCTTGCTATGTTACCCAGACTGGTCTCAAACTCCTGGGCTCAATTGATCCTCCTGCCTCAGCCTCTCAAACTGATGGGATTATCTCTCCTGGCCCCCAAATTTTTAAAGTAAAAAGCCACTGCCAATATTAAAAAGTAAAGATTTTATACTTGAATGTAGATTTCTAGTGTCTTCCTCACAATCAGGACCTCTGATCACAGTGGACCTGTTTCTCTCCCCAGCCCCCTGCCCCACAAGAGTTGGGTCCTGTCCCCATCCTCCCTGGTGCCCCGCCTGCCATTCCTGCCCCACGCCACTCACCTTGGCCAGGTCGGTAATTGTGTTAGCCTGGTCATTCAGCTTCCCTTGTTCAATCTTCACACTCCGGAGCCTGGGGAGACATGGGT